ATCATACAGTCACACTAATTTTTATTCGTACAGTACAAGATAGCGTTTTCGTACAGTACAGTTTATATGTATACTCAGAATTATGAATGCTACAACATAAACACGTGAAAACAATTTTAAATCCTGATTGGCTAAAATGGCTAAATGGCAAATGTGTACATAATAACTAAGAAAATTTAGAAAAAAAAATAAATAGACCCTCCAAATGTGTATATTCAATGAAAGAAATTTAATAATTGGATCAAATTTTATTTAAAGGTTCCGCAATGCAATGTACTATTTAGTTGCTTGTCTCTAGGGGAAACCATAAAAATAATATTATTATTTTCTGTGCACGCAATTTCAGGAACAATTTATAAATTAAAATACACAAAATACATAAATATATATATATATAAAATACAAATTTGCCAAAAAAAAACGAGAAACGCGTCAAATTAAATTTAGATATATATCTCTCCCTTACCACCCCACCATCATATTATTACTAATTATTTTTGATTATTTAAAGTTGTCAATAAAGTTCTAAAATTATTTTCTAATGAATCAAATCTTGCCTTGAATTCATTTTCCATATCATTTAATCTGTTATTAAATTTTTCTTGTAGCATTGATAATTGATCATCATCAGAAAATGGTTTTCTATTTGATTTATTCTTGAATAATAATAATGATTTCTTATTGGATTTAGAAGTCACTTTTAATTCGAAAATTTCTTCATCAATAAATCTAATTTTATTAATTCTATCAGTATATGTGGTTGTAATAGGTTCAATGGTATCCGATGTATCTAAACTATCATCAATTTGTATATGTTTATATTTTTTCAAATTATCTAATAATATTTAAATAAAATTTAATTCATGTTAGGATTAAAAATTTTTTTGCAAGAGAATCAAATTCTTATTATCAGTTATTATTATTACCTTCATCGTCATCATCATCACCGTGGTCATAATTATCATATTCTTTATCACCATCATCACTATAATCGAGATCAGCCAATTCGAATAAATTCTCACCCATAAGACGTGATCTTTGTTTCTCATTATCCTTTTTAGTTTCCTCGAGCCAATCATCAATCAGATCAGGATTAGGGATATAATAAATATATCTAGGATTACCTTTTCTACTACCAAAAGGTTTTTCTAAAGTATCATATTCCGCAATAAGTTCAGCACGATATTTTTGAACTGCTGCAAGACCTGCTTTATTTGCCGTTTCAAATGCACCACTATAGAATTAAGAGAAAAATTGAATTGGACAATTTTTTACAATTTCACAATTATACAACGAATTAAAATAATGTCTAACAAATTACACAACTTCAATAATAATAATGATGATAGAAATATACATACTTCATAAATGCGATCAACATATTTTGAAAAATTAACACTAATATTATACTTCCCAGCATACTTATTATAATTACAGAATAATTATCCCATTGGTCTAATTGATCCCATCGTCCATTGGTCCAAAAGAATACAGCTGCCACGGATGTGAGGATATGTGAATAGTAATTATCAAGATAGCTAGATTTATCAATAACCTGAGTAACTGATATATTTGAGTATAAGCCTGAGCCTGGATTCGAAGTATCATTTATTTGATAAGTAGGACGCTGTAAACTTTCTTCATCTGCATGATTAAGAAGAACAAACCTGAAGAAGATCATAATAATAATAATAAAATGTAATTAGTTAATGTTTAGAATAAAATAACTAAAAAAAAAATTCATAATAATTATTATAATTATTATAATTACATAGCGTGACCAAATGCCAATATCGCAATCAACATGAAAGACAAGAATGGCCAAATTGTATTCATAATACTTGTAACGATATAAATAAAACGTCCGGGACCTTCAAAATATCTCAATAATAATAACTATAAATGAAATAAAATAAAAATAATCAAAAATTTGTTTCGTCCAGAAAGAGGGAAAAGAGAGAGAAAAATGACCTACCACTTCAAGCCACAAAACTAAAGCTGTAAATGCCAATACAGTATTATACGCAGAATAAGTCAAAGTTATGAGCTCCAATTCAGATAAAATACCCGCTACAACAACTGCAAATGGAAATAATACGGATGCTATATCAAACATATTATAAAGACTAATATATTTATTCCATCCTTCTCTTTTTAATTGCACAACCTCTGTCGCTATTAAGTACCATCCAGAATAATAATATATAAAAGTGTATAAAGTTTTTATTACACCTGAAGATTTTGTTTGAAATAAATTAGATACTGATGTTGATTCTCCCGTGAATGAATATGAAACAACTGTTATAGTATATGTGATAGCATATAATATGTACGTAAGGATATGACGAATATAATGTCGACGAGCAGCTGACCATTTGAAAGCCGAGACCGCAATAATTGTAGGTGTCTGATAGATTTCGTAACTTTCCTCTTCATGAATAACGCGAAGGAAAGGACTCTTTTCACTAGTATGTTTGATAACATTTTTACGTGGCCACCAAAATATTCGAAAAAGTGCAAATAGAAGCCATAAATAACTTTCACTATGATCTTCAAGACCTTTGGGATATACCGTAAAATCGGGTAAAGGGACTTTATAAACTTTACGATCATTATATGAAGCACTAATTTCCATCAATGTTTTTTTATGAATAATCGTTTTTTTAATCCTATTAAAAAATCTAAAAAATTTAAAAATAGAGAATTAAAAAGACAACTCTTTTATGATTTTTATAATCTTCATAATCTTTATGTTTAATTAATAATAATAATAATAATTTACCTTCCAAGTTGTTTTTTAAAGAAAGACCTTATACTTTCTAATAGTGTAATTTTGGGCTTTGATGCAAGACGCGGTTTTACTATCAAAGCATGTAGTATAGATGCGTTATTTCCTTTCTGTTGATCATGAGCATTAATGTGTAACGGTGGGGTGTAAGCTTCCGTAATTCCGAAACATGGTTTCTTGAATAAATTTGAAACGAATCCATCTTTCGAAAAATTTAAAGAAAAAGAAATTTAATTAATTAATTGATATAATTTGATAATTTGATAGTAATTAATTAATATCATATAATTCGAATAAAAGAAATTAACTTACTTAATCGATAATCATATAGTAAAGGTATTGCTTTGGTTACAGTAAACATCCAACCATCATTATTATATTCATTTGCATTATCCGCGTAATAATCTATTAAATATTTTAAAATTGCTGTAGAATCAACTCTTTGTTGAGTACATAAAATGGCATTATGTAAATCTGACTTTGATCGTAATTTTAACTCTGGTAAAGTTTTAATGGTTTCAGTTGATGCTAAGGCTTCGTTCATTTTTTCGGTTGATCTTTTAGTTGATGATCGTGAAATATTAATATCGGATTTATCATCATCTTCTCCCTTCCATTTATATAACCTTGGAATATGAATATTACTATTCTTTTCATTAATCTTCTTATTTAAGATATGTTTGATTAAATTCTCTTGATGACCTTTGATAAGATATTTCATAATTGAATATCGAATGTCTGTTAATCTAAATATTCCATATTTTGTAATATATTTTCGTACTAATCCTTGTGTACATTCAATTAAATATTCAATTCGATTAGTATTCTTATGGCCTACTACAACATGTTTCTTCTCTCCTAATACATAAAGTGCTCGGCATGCCCCTTCAAGAACATTTGTATTACTTGGCCAATGTATCGTCACTGATTTTGTTGTAGCATATTTGCCTACAGGTTTTAAAAGCTTTAACACAAATTCTCGTTCTCCGATTTGTAATTCTTGAACTTGTAATCCAATAGATCCCACATTTTTCGATGCCCAAATATATTCTAGTACTCGGTGTTTATCTAGTCTTTCTGTAATATTATTATATTTATTTTTATCTTTATATTTCCATATTTGTACAGTGTTATGAGAAATAATAAGTTGAGTTCTTTTAGTAGAATCCAACCAAACTGATAATCGAAAATAATTTTTTTTTGAATGCCATGGTTCAATATTTCGTATAATTACTTGATTTTTTGTTAATCCCGAATCAGATCTTTCCCCATTTATATCATAAATTGCATGAAAAATGCGATCTAAAATAATCTCAATTTTAGTCATTTTCTTCGATGGAGGATTTCTAATTAAATTCACATCTTCATGATCTAATATTGAAATAATTTTTCCACTAT